TTTCTCACTAATTTCATCAGTATCATTTGGTGGTCTGTAACAAATTCCCACTAAAAGCGTTTTCCCTTTATAAAAACCCAAATGGATTCAATCTCTTTGCTACTATCTTCGATATACTCAACTTCAACAGGATGTAACACATTTTACATATAAAGCCACTCCTCCCCCCCCTCTTTAATGCACTATCCCTATTAAATAGCATGTAACCCTGTATTTAAAACAAAATTCTGTCATCAAAATCATCTATGTTTAACCATGTTTCAGTTATTCCCATTATATCAAGATCCTCCATTCCTACCAGTGTTCTAAAGTCATCTATTTTATATCTTATACTTTTAGCATTACAATAGTAACAATTAAGCCTATCCTTATAACTACTTCTATACTCATTTCCTATGCTAAACTTTTCTCTGCCTCTTATTCTTTTTGCATTCAGTTTTTCTGGCCCTCACCACTGTCTATTCCTAGTTGAAAATTTCCCTTACAGCTGAGTTAATAGCCTTAGCAAACAAACCAGACCCTACTCTATTTAAATGTAAACCATCCATTGCAAAAAGCTTCCTTCTCCCACTGAACTGATCCCAAAAGTTCAACTAGCCAATTTGCTCATCCTAACATCCTAACATACATACTAACCTAAGCCTAGCATTTAGCCCTAATGACCTACTTATATCTTCATCCCCACATTTAATTCACAGGCAGTATCCCTGACAAAATTAAGTTATAGCCGTTTTTTAAGGTGCCTTTATCAACTCCTTATACTTATTAATTAGCTCCTCTGATCTACCATTCCTTACATCATTAGCCCTACATGCACTACAAAAACTGCATCTCTGCTAGCCCTCTTTGTTAATGTTATACCTTTTGCTCTGTTAGTTATATCCTCCACCTGTTCCCCTAGGTAGCATAATCTGATTATTTTCTCTCTATTTATCCCACAGACTGTTCTATCCACATGCCTTATCAAGGAATCACCTATAACTATAACCTCCTTATCATCCACATCCTTCTCTGACCCTCCAATAGTTCCCCATCTGCAGAAGCCAAGGGCTGGAATTTGTTGCTCAACAGAATAGGCTCATTATAAAGTCATTGTTAGCTGATGTATCTTTTGAGTGTAAAAGTTTATGCTCCTCCTGAAATCCTGCTACCATTTCCCACAATCTGCACTTCTCTTTATCCATTGCATCAACTTTAATCATGATTGCCTCTAACTTTTCCTCCAACCTACAAACTCTACGTAAAAATTGTATATCTTCATTACTAGCTTCCTTAAAAGTACATTCCTAGTCCCGAGTTCCCAAATAAAACCCACTCCTTGCACCTAACAAATTGAGAACGTTTAACTCCTACATCAGTCTTAACTATTGTATTTATACTGTTATAGCCTGAAAGTGAAAATAGTACTCACTATCAAATACCAGTAGCTTATTGTTAACACTGTTACTGTTAAGCCTAACGTTTAAGAACCAATTATATAATTTTTTATCACTACTTTGTCTTCACACTAAAGTAATAAAGCTTATCTTTAATTATATGGAACTTGGTTTATTAGATCAATATACGTTTACTAATAAAACGTATTTACTTTAGCCTGATTTATATTATAACCTACCTATACGTGTAAAGTATAAGCTGAATTTAAACTAATGGTTCTAAGTTCAAATATACACACTAATTCTAGAACACTAAGAAACAATAAACTAATTTTTAGTTTGTATTTATAAATATACCTAAGCCTGAAGTACCGTTAAACGTACAAAGCGTATTTTAAGTTAAAATACTGTTACGTCTCTGGTCGTTTGTTAATTTTCTGTAAAAATTCTTTCCGAGAAACTTCAGCGATACAAATCCTTTCTTAAATAAAACTACTTTATTCTTTCTCAATTCAATTTTGCAATACACTTAATTTCCACAGTCACTTTAACTTCAACACACGCTATAATTCACCACGTTTCACGCATTTTACTACCGCGCTTGACTCAATTGACCGTCTCTGTCTCTGCCTGTCTGCAATTCTATTCTGATTAATTGTCTGGGGCACTTATATACAAGAATAGAGGGCGCCTAGCAA